GTTAAAAAGTTTCGCGATTCTTCTAATATATCGCTGAACTCGAACTAACCCCGTACTAAGACCGTCGTCAAATTTTTTTCCCTCCGATCTTTTTCCCTATTATCCGAAATGGTCGTCGCGTACAGTACTCGGGCAGTCTGAAAAATATGACCGTCCCCTCCCGCCACTCATAAGACTCAAGATTCAAAATGACGTAGAAACAAGTAGAAGTATAAGAACGATTCTATTCTCCCTCTCAAAAAAAAAAAAAAAAATTATTCTCTTCTCGTCTAACGTAATAATTCATCGTGAACACGCTCGCACACAAGAACTCGTTTTGTCAACGAGTAAAAAAAACGAGATTTCGAATAAAAAAAATATATATATACCTTCGTATATATATTAGAGATATTAAACAAATTATCCGATCGTTGTATCCGGCCGGCTGAAGAAATACATAGTATACTCTATTCGCAAGTACTTCCTTCGATAGAATACGATATATATTTTTATTAAAATCGATTCGTGGCACAAGGCGCGTGCTGCGCTCAACCGTACGATAAATTACAGCGTAATATCCGTATAGAGGGCGAAACAATGAGAAAGGATCACGTTGGAAGAATAACACCGCGTTTGAACAAGTTTCCCTATAGATACGTGTACGTACGGTACGGCGATGTAAATTCACGCGAGACTTACGCCGGGCGTAGAGGAGGAGGAGGAGGAGGAGGGTGGTTGGTGGTGGTAGGCGCGAGTGGAATAGAATTGGTGGAAGAAGGGGAGAGACGAGAAGAGGGCGAGAAAGGCACGTGAAAAGCATCGTACTCTGTTGGCCGAGCTTTTGTCGCCGCGTTCTACGCGCGGTACGCGAAACGAAAGAATGAAATTCGCACTGTCCCGAATGGTATTGTCCGCGGGAGCACTGTAATCGATCGTCGCTCGATGAATGGGCCGGGAATAGAGAGGCGAGATCGAAGGATGGAGGAGATGGGTGGTGCTGCGTGCACGGACAGATACGCAGAGCCGATTTTTATTGCCAGCCACCGCTTCCACGAGCTTTGTAATTCAGACCATCTATATGAAATCTCCCGGCCATCTTTATCCCTTCGTATAAAGGAGAAGCTTCGGGTATCGAGGAAGTCGATCTCTTAACACATTTTTTCTTTTTTTTTTTTTTTTTTTTTTTTTTTCTCTTCAGCGATGGAATGTTCCTCGAAACGAACGATCGAAGAAATAGTCCCATTTTATGTCCCGATGGATAGAGGGCAATGAAAAAAACTTTCATTCAACGGTAATTCGAAGAAAAAAGAAGTAATTCTTTCTCGCTTCTCTCGCGAGTTGAACGTTGAAAGCATGACATACGCGAAGACGTATAAATACTCGTTTTACAATTTCAACTCCCCTCCTCTCTCCCTCTCCCAATTCTCCATGAACGAAGGGGAGAAAAGCAATTTTTAGGTTAAAAGTGGGACGCAAAGTAGCGCGAAAAGTTAGATTATTAAAGTCTCCGAATGGGTGGAGAGAAGAAGGCGTATTATCCGCGCTTTGGTTTACTTCAGATTAAGAAAGTTCAGGGCAGCTCGTTTTCGCGTCAAAACCTGGTGAATCATAATAACGATCCGCAAATTCAACGTGTACTTGAGATATAAAAAAAAAAAAGACGTGAAAGAAAGAATAGAGGAGAAAGAGGAGGAAAAATGCCGAGAACGAAGAGAAAGATGGGGGAGGAGGTTGTACATCGGAATTATATCGAAAAGTATCTCCCGACAAGCGAATTAATAGTTTCAACAAACACTCGGTGCAGGATGATTGACGAACACATATATATATATATATAGAAGTTACCGTAAGCGTGTTTCTTTCCGTCTAAGTCTCGACCGTTATATTTATGCCAGCCCGAAACGTTACTTTCCCACGCGAGGAGAATTACTCGCGTATCTCACGCACGCGCTTTTACAACAACGCTCGACGCTGATCGACGAAATATCAGATCGTAGCCGATAAAAATGTCCTGCCTTTGCCGTACGTATGTAGGTACGTTTGTTCTCTCGCGTAATGGAATTATCGTTCCGCAAGCACGCGATACTTCGATTACGCCAAATGCTCCCTTTCGCGGCTGCCTCGCTCGCAACCCTCCACTCTGCGCCACCTCTTTCCACCCCCCTCTATACTACTCCATCCTTGATGCTCCGCGGTCGTTCGATGCATATAATTCCTGCTTAGACGCGTACCCCGGGAAAAATTACGACGCGACGGTCAATTACGATCGACGCTTAAGGGAGATTAGAGGAGGCAAGGGAACAAGGAGAAAAAAAGATTGGAGGAAGGGAGGAGAGTCGTCTCGCGTCGATTCACATTGCAAATCTCGCGTCGTGATCTAAGTTTTTTTTCGAGTTTCGAGATCGAAAGGTGAATCGTCGTTGATTCACTCGGGAAGGAATGGAAAAATCGATGAAAGGAAAAAAAGGGGGGGAGGGAAGGGAGAGGGAAGAGGGAATGGCTCGTGAATAGTAGCGACGCGTCGCCGGCAACTTGAATGACTATTCTGGGCACAGAGAAGGAATTTCGTTGGAAAAATCTTTCTCGACGCGAGGCGGTGTACAAGGTGTGCGTGCAAATGGCATCGGATCCGAGCGAACGAGCATCGCCAAGAATGACGCTTTCTTAAGTATACATACTATCGTGAAAGGACATAGATTTATAGATCTCGATGAAGAAGAATTCTGTTTTAAATGCTCGAACAAGGATTAATAATCGAGTATTTAAAAAAAAAAAAATAAAATATTACGAATTCGGATAGATTCGTACGGATTATATCAAATCGCAGATTAATAGGCAATTAACCAGTTATGATTTGCATCGAGATTATCCGGCATCGCATGGATGAATGGGACAAAATATCAAAATTAAACGATTCCTATATTATAATATATAACATACACGTATATGCGTTGTTGTAATTGTGAAAAGTGGATTGAAACGGTCCATATACCTTTTGATATGCAGTCCTGAATTTTTTAAATTTCAATATAAATTTCACTTTAACGCAAAAATTCTATCATAAATATTTACTAGAATATTGTGCCAGACACAAATCAAGGAAAAAAAAGTGAAAGGCGAACGTAAGCTTGAAAAAGAACGATCGGTCTTGAGACGTAAAAATACAGGAACGTAGTAGGAGGAAGAAATAGGTCTCTCGCCCGAAGGCAATTTGTCGCGAAAAACTTGACGCGCAATCTGAAAGGAAAACAGAAAGCGTGTAGGGCAATGCCCAACAAACGGTATACGTATACGTGTGGCCTTTTTGCAATAATATGAAGGAACGATGTGTGCGGCTCGCTCTTCTGCTCCGTGAAAATATTTCACATATTTTTGTTAGGAATTAATTCAACCCGTAATACTCGTTGGCCAGCGTGCTCACCGCTGAAAATTCTCTTGACAAACAACCCTCTCGGCTGCATTCGTAACTCCGTCTCGCTAAAGGGCGAATCGCTTTTGTATTTGTACGCTTCTCGCACAATGTGTACAGGGGGTACGCGACCGTGTGTATAAGTGAACGGTGAAAACGCGGGTAGATCCGACGAAATGGTCAGCAGTAACTTCCGCCTCTTCCTCGGCAACCTCCGCCCCGTTTGCAATCCCTTATACGCCCGCGCGTCTCTACTCGTGGCACATGGAATTCCTCAAGTTTGCCCAGGGACAGAAATTAGTTGGAGCGACGTAATTGCTTGAATGTATGCGTTCGGCCGTTAACATTATGGCACCTCTCATTACGGTCCTAACAGCAGCTGACACAAGCAGCAGACGGGTTCATCCCGCGCGTACGGTTTATGTATTGCGGGGACAAAAATTTAAGCGTTGTCCTGGGAAATCCTGGAAAAATTCAGTGATAAATTCGTCTGTTAGTCGTGAGAAGTTTTTTCTTTTCTTTTTTTTTTTTTTTTTTTATTTTTCAAACGATATATTTCAAGCGTAACAGAAATGCAACCATTGTTAAAAGAGATTCGATATTACTAGCAACATATTAAAAATAAATAAATGGAAACGCAATGATTAATAATTTTTATCGATAATATATCACTTAACAATGGTCCCAATTTCGTTGGTGATCGTTATTCGAGATTGACGCGGTGAGTGAACACTGGCAAATTATTGTCATTCCATTGGGTCATCCCGTTAGTCATGATTAAGCAAATTTCATACCCGACCTATTAATATTAGAGTGGTTGACCACGCGATGTCCACAAAATTCCCCTGGCTAGTATAGAATGCATATACTGACCTGACAACTACTGTCCACTAGCAAACTTCCTCAAGTTGATTAAACCGAGCTTCAGATGTTGCATCACACGTTGAGATAATTTTGTTTTGGACAATTAAACTATTGTTATTTAATCTATAATAGTGTTTACGAATAATTAAAATTATATATAAAAAAACTGAAATTGCTATACAAATTTTTTACAAATAATTTTAAATATGATTTAATAACTTAATTTAAAAGTGAATATTACTATAATATAATAAACAAAACATAACTTAAAATAAAGTAAAAAAAAATGATATAATAAAAGAAAATAGATATTATTAATCTTAATAATTCAATATTTTACATAAAATTTGAATTTGACATCATATTCATGGAACACTTTTAAAGAATCAATATTAGAAATCAAAATAAATACAAAAATTGATATGCAAAAATATCGATTAAGACTTATTTGTTAAATTATAAGCAATTTAAGTTTGTATTGGATGAAGTGAGGCGGAAATAGAACGAAATGACGCGACAGTGGAAAAAGAGCTATCTCACTCTATTTGTATCTCGCTTCATCTACAATCTTCAATTGCTTATAATTTACTGAATAAGTCTCAACCAATGTTTTTGTATATCAACTTTTGTATTTGTTTTGGCCCCTATAATCAATCCTCCAAAGTTATCTCACGAATATATTAACACTCTATATATTACAGACGATCTGTGATTTTAACTTCTTGTAAACTGCCTTTAGATATGTTGGAAAACTAGATTTCTAAAACATCGACTCTGTTTAACATATCAGAAAATACGAACACGAGCTCTTTGCGTACATCTGCCAGAAAGCTCATGATTTGTTTAAAGTAATGGCATTTGCGACAAAAAGTATACGACACTTATACAAAATATACAATGCAAATACAACAACGATATACTCAGCACTTCGTCTACCAATCGCTCGGATATCAGTTGTTCAAATGGCGCAAAGACATTATTATAACACTGAAGGTAAGTAAATACAAAAAATATAACCTTATTATAAACACGCGCTAGCCGCATGTTGTTTATTGTGAAATTTTTTCAATGATATATGAATGAAATAAATCTTTATTAACTTTTTAAATAAATTTATTTATATAATACATTAATATTATATAAATAATTTGCTTCCAAATTTTCAATTTTTATATAATAAAAAAATATTAAAAAAAAAATAAATAATATATAATTAATAATAATTGTTTATTATTTTTGTTTTATAGCACATAGACCAAAAATAACAGGTAGTCTGACAAATATTCAATCGTCTGGAGGAACTGTGCAATCTTTAACGCAAGATGGATTAGATAATAAAAAGTTAGAAGAAGAAGCAAAAGAAGAAGCAGAAGAAAAAGAAAAACGAGAACAATCACAAAGAGTGCTTAAATATAGTTTTGCATTCTTGGGAGTATTTACCACTGTTGGACTGTCTTATGTAATATATAATTTAACGAAAGCTAAATATGATGAACATGGAAATATTATTGAAGATGAATTTTCAAATTTACCATTTTATGAAAGAATATATAAAATGCTTAAAAGGGAATTTAATTATTATACTAAGGTATCAAAAGTTTAAAATAAAATTAAAAGCACATATTTTAATTGTAACTGAAGTATATGTTTTTTAGATGGTTCAAGAACCTAGTAGAAATAAATTACTTCCAGATCCACTTAAATATCCTTATATTCAACCCCCTTATACTTTGGTGCTAGAATTGACAGATGTATTAGTACATCCTGATTGGACAGTAAGTAATATTTTTTTTTTTTTTAATATTTAATATATTAAAAATTTTATGAATATTTATTTTTATTATTATCTCAGTATGAAACTGGTTGGAGATTTAAAAAAAGGCCTGGTGTGGATCAATTTCTAGAGGCTATAGCTCCACCACAATTTGAAATTGTAGTTTATACAGCAGAACAAGGAATGGTAATTAAAATTGTCAAACTTATTTTATTTATTATTTTCATATATCATTTACATATATATTTAATATGACCTTTATAGACTGTTTTTCCTATCTTGGATATTTTGGATCCTAATGGATATATCATGTATAGATTAGTAAGAGATACAACACGTTTTGTAGATGGTCACCATGTTAAGGATTTAAATGCTCTTAATCGTGATCTTAGTAAAGTAAGTATAAAATTTTTATCTTAATAAAGTACAATTTTTTATATATATTTTATTCATTATATTATTAGGTTATAGTAGTTGATTGGAATCCAAAAAGTACAAAATTTCATCCTGAGAACACTTTACAATTACCACAATGGATTGGAAACGATGATGATACAACGCTATATGATTTAGCTGCATTCCTTAAAAGTATATGTCTTTTTATGTCGTCAATTATTATAAATTATATATGTATATATAATTATTTTATTTATTGTTATTTTGTAGCTATATTAGCGACAAATGTGGAAGATGTACGAGAAGTTCTTAATTATTATAGACAATTTGATAATCCATTACAAGTTTTTAGAGAAAACCAACGAAAATTTTTGGTAAGAATTATATTATATGTATGTATATGTATATATATATATATATATATATTGACTATAAAATTAACTATAAATATTATATTATTAAATTTAATTCTTATTATTTATAAAATTTACTTAGATGCAAATAGAAGAAGAGGAAAATAAAGCACAGCAAGAAAGTAGTAAGGTACTTACATCAAAATGGAAACCAACATTTCATTGGAATCGCTAAATCACTAAAAAAATGCAATGTTGTAAAATACAAAAATTTGTAAATTATCATTAACATATTCGTTCATTTTGTCGATACATATTGTGTAATTATTGTATAATTTTTGCTATAAATAAATAAACAAGTAATTCATATGTCGAAATATTTAATTTTATTATTTTATTAAAAAAATATAATTTTACCTTTGTTATATATACAATTCTTAAATATTTTATACCTTCCGTTTTTTTCGTATACTTCCTTTTTTTGAATGTGTAGTTTTAACTTTTGGTAAAAGATCTTGTAATGCGTTACTGTCATCCAAGTAAGTTATTTCCATTTCTTGAGATACACTTATTAATTCTTGTGTATTAATTGGCGTTGATATATTCTCCATTTCTTCTTGTGATAAAATTGGTGCCTTTGGATCTGCAGATTCTAACCAACTTAAAACTTTTTGATGAGGTGCTGTTGTTAAAGGTAATGGAACTTCCTCACATATTTCCCACATAGCTAAAAGTTCAGGTGCCAATATATCCATATAAGTATTTAATTTCTCAAAGGATTGTTTCCAACTTGGTTCAAAACAATTAGTTGAATTATGTTTATGATCTTTCAATTGTAATTTTTTATTTGTAAAACCTATTAAATTAAAATATATATGTATATATGTATATATGTATAATATTCAATTTAAATAAATTATATAATTTTTTATCTTTTTAGAATAAAAAAATTATTATTTATTTACTCTTAAAAAAATGTTCCACATTTAACTTATTAGATATTGTAAGAGGTACTATAGTATCTATTTGTACAGATACTGCATTTTCCCAAGCATTTAATAAACAGCATGATTTACCATTAATAAATGAATACTTATCTAATGCAGTATTATGTGTTAAGCATTGATAATATATATCTCCTAAAAAATATATTTGCATTAAAATTTTTAATTAATGAAATTAGATAATTTTATCGCAAAGCATAAAAATAAATATGTACCAATAGAATTTTGAAGAAATAAAAATATATTCTGATTAATATCTTTAATAATAAAAGAACCAGTATTTGATAATTCAAATCTATCTCTCAAATATGGATTTAAGCACATTCCTTGTATTTGAGATTCATTTAATGTCTCTTTAATATGAGGAGGAGTATATGGAAAATTATATGAATGTGAAATTTCATTAGTTGTCCAAGTATTTACAATAATTGTAGTTTCACCAGCAATTTGACTAGATAAAACAACAAATTCTTTATCTTCTCTAAAAGCATAAGTTTATTATTACATATTTAAATATATTTATATTTTTATTTATTAATTATGTATATGAATAGTTTATTTAATTTTCTTTTACCTATTTATTACAGAACCAATAAGTGGTGGACCTTTGAATTGATGAATCCATTTTTGTTGAACACTTTTTTGTGGAGAACGATTATCACACATTAAAACACTATGGTAAGTTCCTATATATCTACAAAAATTATTTTTACTAGGAACATCTAATGAAAGATATTCACATTTTTCTAAATAAAATTTTGGACATATTGTTAATGTTGGTCGATCAAATGGAACCTGTCATATAAAATTAATATATCATTAATTAGATAATTTAAGTATTACATCAATAATAATATATTTATGTTAATAATAATAATAATAATAATATTAAAAAATAATTAATATTTGTATTCTTACACGAATATCAAGATAATGTAGGCAGCATCGATCTATAAATAAAAGAACATTAGGATCTATGGATTGAAATTTTATACTGCTCCATGAATCATCTAATACAGTAGTGTTCAGTATAGTATTAGAGTTTATTGGTTTCCTATAAAATTAAAAAATATATATATAAATTTTTCATTTATAGAAACATGTATATTTACAATATTTACATTTTAGTCATATCCCATAATGTCACACATCTATCAACATCAACTAAACAATATTGATTTGCATTAAGAGGATTTAAATCTGCACTAATATAAGGTATTTTTGATATTTGTGTATGTACTTCCATGAGATTACATTTATTATCACGTTCAGATAATATATAAAAATTACAATGCTGTTTATATCTACCTAAAATCATACCTAAAATATTGAATTACAAATTATTAATTTCATAATAAAAATTCTATATAAAATAATAATACATATATGTATATATATATCAACCTAAAATTTATACATTAATATCATAATATCAAATATCATATATAAATATATCATTAATAATTATTATTCTCTTTTAAAATATAACTTTAAATATATGTTACTTACAAATATCAACATTAACATTATGTTTTAATTCATACAATGAACCATTACTGAGTTCACATTTAGCTGCTTTTTCGAATAAAGGTTTCCATAAAAACTCTTCTATATTATCAAGAGGTGTACTTACTAAAAATAAATTAAAATAAAAATTATATTGCTAATTATATTGCTAATTATATTGCTTATGAAGAACAAGAAATATTTTTATAATAATAATAATACCTAATTCTCCCATAAATGGAAAAAGTAAAATGTCCTTATTATGTAAATTTATATGATTCAGAGATCCACCAGTATAATACCAATTATAAGCCTAAAAAAAATTACATAAATTTGATTTTGTATTATAAAATTTTTCAAAATAGTTTTATTATAAAAAGCTAAATTAATAAATTTAAAGCTTTAATTTTTATCTTACTCCTTTAAAATAAGGATCTGGATCTTTATCAATAATTTGTGCTAAATCTGCAACATATTTAGGTATTTTAGCAGTAATTATATCTTTCATATGATTCCATTTTACATCTTTCTTGTATATCAATTTTAAGTCTAAAAAATATTATTATTATAAATACAATTTTTTTTATAAAATTTTATATTTATTATTAGATTTACCTTTTTCATGTTTCAAATAATAATGTTTCATTCTTTCTATATCCTTGTTCATATAATTCTTAAGAATGACTAATTCTAATGTAGGATCTTCTTCATTCAATACTATATAATTTATAAATATACATAAATATAATATATATTATAAAAATATACTTTATAAATTATTAATTAATTCAATATACTTGCCATTTCGAGGTAATTTAGCAGGTGGCAATAAAGGTTTTGGTAAATCACAATGATAAGGATATTCTTGATATTGTTCTATAATATTTTCTAAATCAGAATCATCTACAGAAAAATTAGTATGTAAATTATGTCCAGGTACCAAATAATGAGGATAACGTTTTAAAAATGCTAATTTTAATTTATCCTTCAAATTTGTTTCTGCACGTTTATATGATTTTGATGTTAAAATACTTTGCTCCTCCATTTTTATCATTTCTTATAATTAGCAATGTTTATTATATTTAAAAATTATGTTATAGAAATAATTCTTTCTTTATATATAAATTTTTTATTACATTTCTTTTTTTATAAATAATTCATTAATTTAAAAAAATTATTTTATAATAATAATACAAAATAAATAAAATTATTTAAAAAAATAAAAGGTTTTTATTTTACATTTCATTTATTGTGTATTTTTAATTAATTTTAATTAATTATTTTTAATTACTAATTACAATGTTAATCAATATTATTAATATCAGAAATATTGCCAAAAAAACATGTTTATAATAATATATACACGTGTGTTTTCAGAATTATCATAGAATATAAAATTATATTAATGTAATCCGTATTGAATATTTAGAAAAATCTATTGCAATGCCCTCTACATTTTATAAATTACAATTAGTAATTTTTTAGTTACAAATATCTTTGTAATATAATTTTATAAAAATATGAATTTTACAAAAAAAGAACAAATTCTATAAATATTAAAAATCTAACAAAAATATATAAAAATCATAATTTTTAATATATATAATATAATTATTTGTAATGAGTTTTATATTTCGAATTTAGTTTAGTTTAATTAGGATTTTTAATTTTTAATTTTGATTAATAACTAAGGTTGAGTACTTTTATATTTCAAATTTTTGATAAGAAAGAAAACCACAAAATTAGAAAAGGAAAAGTTAAAGGATTTGATGATATTTAATTTTTTATTTAATAAGTGCAATGAACTTAGAAAATACAAATTTACTTTTTTTTAATTTTAAATTGCACAATAGAATACATTTCAATTAATCATTCAATTATATTTCAAACATAATTCAATACATTTTTAATAATTCTTTCATAATAAATCTTATTGTACTTTACAGGATATTATAAGTAGCGAATTATTTAATAAAAAATATAATTATGCAATAAATAAATTTTATACATGTCAATAAAATTGATATAATTATTGAATACGTGCAATACAAAAAAATATTTTTATAAAAGTATTGATATTTAAATATAATTTATTCAGTCTGATTTTTATGTGCTTTGGCTACAAATGATCTGAAAAAAAATTATAAAAAATATTAATAAACTTTATAAAATTACATTAATAGTTAATACTTACTTGATTACATTAGGTAAATTTTTATAACGACATATATATTTATGTCCAAGGCCATATAATGCATCAATTCTTGTCATTTGAATACTATTTGTATTATTTCCATGATAATTTATTGCTGCTTTAAACAACTAAAAGAAGCAAATTTTTTAATAGTTTCAATTGTTATGAAATTTTATAAAAAAAAAAAAGTATTTGTACCTTTTCACCTAAAGCAAATGGAATGATATTATCATCTTCTGCATGCAATATCATAATAGGACATTGAATTTTTTCTACATGTTTATCAGATTCAAAACGAAGAAAATTATCATAAAATGGTTCAACAATTATCCAATGAAACCATGGTAAATGTTTGAATATCTAAAAACAAATTGAAATTTTTTAAATTATTAGAATTTTTTTATTGATTAAATTGATTTTAAATAAACTATTGTTTAAATCATGTTTTTATAATTAATTATTATTTTTAAAAATACCTGTGCTAAAGGATGTTCACTTAATTCATCTGCTATATTATTAAATGGTGATTCTAAGAACAAACCTGCAGGTTGAACTTTTTTTATTGCTAATAATGCCAATACATGAGTAGATACTCTATAATATAATAAAAATCTAAGTTTTAATTTTATCATTAATTTTATCATTTTATATAAATATAAATTTATACCCAGTT